CATCTCGTAACTCACACCTTCGAATCAAAGGTTATCTTGCATATAGTGCTAAGAATCATCACAGAGGTAAAGCAAATAGATTTGAACTCGCCTGACTAAAGCAAATTGATGTGAATATAATCACTGAAGTACAGATTTCGCACTGAAGAGAGCTCCAAAAAATTACTATTGAGAAGATCATAGTAACAAAAAAGAAATTTATCATCCACTAGGTTGGTCTATTGATCGAGGTAGGGCTTTTAGAATTAAGTGTTTTTTCGACGATTAGGCGTAAGATTCAAATATTAGATCTGACAGCGGAGATGAAAGGTGTGTGAAAAATAGGGATAGTAATAGAGGCAAGCGCTCACTCGCGAAAAATAATGAGGTCGGGGCAAGGGCAGGAATTGGACGGAGACGGTGGAGAATGCCTCTGCCCAATCACTCGCCTCGTACTCCGTTTAAATTAAGTAATATAAATAAATTAGAGTTTTTCTAATGGATACACAATAGGCATTGATTAACACATTTAAATTAGAAAAAAAAAATTAACACACCTAAATTCCACCGAATCTATCATGTATATACACACATTAACAATTATTACATTTTCTTGCATTTATATACTTTCCCTAATTAATCTTATCTTTCCAAAAATCTAACGTCTAAAGTATATTTTAACTAGTGGCCATTCAGTTTCTGTTAGATAGACCCAATAAATAATATATATACATAATCTGTTTGAATCTATTTTAGAATTTAGTTGGTTTATCAATTATAAAGTCATCAATGTTATGTTGTTATACTCTATAATCTGTTTGAATTTTTGTCGGTGGTAGTTATAAAATGACATCAACTCTATTGTGAGAATATATGCTATCAAATAAATCATTTTGCCTCACTCCAAAGCTAATTAATGTGGCGTCATTGATCTTGAAATGTGTCTAGATTTTCAATGATACTTTATCTCTATTAATCATGTTTAGTGTTTTTTTTCCTCTTTGGCGTGTTTTAGTTCTGTACTAAAGTAGCTGTTTGCTTTGTATCTCTTAGTGTGTTGAAGAATGTATCAAATTGGCTGAGGAGTTCCAACTACTCTTGTGATTAGATTATCACCTAGAGAAACCCGTGAGGAGAGCGGAGCAAGGCGGGGCGCGGGAATAGAAGTGAGGAGAGATGTTTGGCAACGAGGCTGGGGTTGAGGGTCGGGGTAGGGATCCCCCACCCCAACCCTACCCCGTTACCATCCCTAATGGTAAGGGATGGAAGAATTTTTTTTTTTTTTTTTGTTGTTGTAAAAAAGAACCTTATTAAACAACCTAAAACCTTATTTGTTATTAATTAGTAGTATGCACAATTTTTTGCTAGAGCAAGGCTCCCTAAGCAACTCTTTCATTTTGATTCAAAGACCAATGAAAAAAATCATACGCTCTCTCTGACCATGTGATGGGATTTCCCCACAGTTGAGGGATCCTCCTCAAAATTAGATCAGAATTTATGCTCCAATGATGCAACTACTTGAAGATAATACATAAATAAATATATATATATAATTCATTTAAGGGTATCCCAACCTTTCGATTAGATTAATTTCTTAAAATTGTATAGAGTCTTATCCCAAGAATATAAAGTGAGATAGCACACGGAAGTCAATTACGGGACCTGCTGGTAATTACTGAACTACGAAACCAGTCAGATTAACCGCTGGAGCTAGATACTTCCTCTGTCCCATTTTGATAGTTCTAATTTTTCTTTCACACAGTTTAAGAAAAAGTAGTTAATTTTGTTGGAAAAACAAATTTAGGTTGCTATTTTCCTAAAATACCCTTACATTAAATAGAGTACAACTTTATATTAATTATTCATGGAAACTTGAATTGATGGCTCATGAGAACTTGAATTGATGATCAAGAAAGAATCAATCCTTATTTTACATTATTTCACATTAAATCTAAATGTATTAAATGGGGTAGGTTAGCAATCTATATTAAATAAGGTAGTTTATACTAATAACAACCTATATTGAATAAGAGTATTTTAGAGAAATTAAAAAAAAGTGTGTTTGGACAGGAGATTATTTGTCCAAATATATTTACTTATATCACCATTACAATTTTCAATACACCTTTTTATCTTCTCAATTAATTTTTTATCTCACATACATCACATCATCACAAAAAGTACTACAATAAAAATATCTTAAATAATTTATAATTCAAACACATAGTATATTTTTCAATTGAAAAATGCCTGCAATTTGGGATGAACGAACAAGAAAAATTGGACGGAGGGAATAATAAATATGTTAGGTGCAGTCAATGTGTCGAAGAAAAACCGCCTAATTGTTGATACCGCTGCCTTCACTGCTAGAGATGGAAAGTTTCTGATCGTTTCGACTTAATTTCACATGCACTTGGATATGTCACCTGAAAAGTATCTTCGTGAATAGGAATTTGAAGCTTTCTAGGCATTTATTATTGGGTTGCTCGAATCTGACTGACTATGCTAGGAAGATTGCAGCTTAGGCCGATTGATTGCTAAATTTACGTTCTCGTTTTCTCGTGCACTTTGACAAGGCATTAATATCTTCTACAGGTCACGGGACTCACGGAAACAAATTGAGCTTTTTCGAGCGGGTGTTTAATGGACATTCATTAATATGTCTAATAATCACACACCCAACTTATTATGCACTTGCTGATAATAGAGTAAATCTTATAAGTACATATTAATAGTATATATATTATCACATTAGAAGTATGATATATTCAAAATTCAAATTTTACATAATTATTATTTATTCAAAATTGACAATATATATATATCATTTATTCAAAATTGATAATATATATGTATATTGTTAATGTAACAAAGATTAATTCTAATAAAAGTAAATCTTATATACACTAACTATCACTGTTAGATCCATGACACATTGCAAAATTGAACTTTAATATTTAAATTTTACATAGTTATCATTCATGCAAATCTGACAATGTCACTATAGGAAAGATTAATCCTAACAATTATTGTACTTATTTGCATTTGTATACTTTTTCTAATGAATTCAATAATTGCTCAATTGGCACCATTAGATAGGCCCAAACAAATTAATACGAATGATCTACTAGCTCTTGGGAAGGAAAACATTAATGCTCTTTTTAAATGGCGACCATACAGTTGAACAATGTCTTGTTTTTTTTTTTTCTGTAACTTTTAAGTTCTTGACTTGTTGGTAGGAGATAATTTACCTGCTTAACATTATTATTTAATATGTTAGGCTTAGTTCATGACCAAATATGGTAATGTGGTTTCTTTTTTTTTTTTCGAAACGATAATTTTGGTAACGTGGTTTCACGTTCAAAGGAATTCAGTAAGCTAATCCTTTGAGTAATTTGGCCTCCATTACTTTTACTGTTTAATTATTTCTTCTACTAATATGACCACGATTTTTTTACGAATAGAAATAAGAAGGATTGGGTTAATAATTAATTTTAAGTGCATGTTTTAATCTATTAATTTATTTGTCCCATATGTATAATCTATAGGTGATCCCTTTTTGTCCATCTTGAAGGCTTTGTTTAATAATCCAATTTAGCATTTAAACTTAATAGATTCAGATTTTAACATATCCGAACCGTTTAATAACCAAAAATTGAACATCTGAATTAATTAAGTGACACTGAATTTTCTAAACAAAACTTGTTCTCAAAATTAAGTGATAAGTTATTTACTTATCACTGAATGTGATATGCACTCATATGTATTAAATTTAGTACTGAACAATTCAATAATTTAATGAATTCAGATTTCAGATTTTAGTTTAATCAAATGCACCTTAGACTTAGGGGTAAAGATGGTGTTGGCAAGATTTTAATAGAAAAAAACAACTACCCTGAAAAAAGAATATTGATAAACAACAGCTATCGTAATAAAAGACTTTTTTCTTCCTTATACTCTCATTCGAACATGAAAAATTTCGCTATAAAATCCAACAAACCTTTCTCCCAAATAACAAAAGAAGTATCTGGAGAACAAAATGACGCATCCTATTTATTCATTTATTTTTCACAAGCCAATGCAAGGATTTTTTATTTTTCTTTTTCTTTTTGTCCACACTTTTCCATTGTAAATTCACACCTCCAATGCATTATTATTATTTTTTACCATTGATACAAGAATTTATAAAAGTACAAGGCATTGATATTAATGGTGCAAATTATCAAAGAGTTTACGATGGGCGAGTGCGATTTAGGATTTATTTTTCTTTTGCTTTTTTTAAGCTAAACTTGGATACCCATCATTTGAAAAAATTATTGATTACAAAAATGTGACATTTTTTATTTGGGGCATGATGTATATTAATCATAGGGTCAGCTCAGTGGTCAGAGAAAGCTTTTACAGTTTCCCCTCTTGATTGGGGGTTTGAGAGCTGGAGGTGGGAGGGTCAAAAAAGAAATATTATATTTTAAATAAAAAATGGTCAAAAAATATATTTATAATTTAATCCAAATAATTTTTTTCTCCAAACAATCCAAAATTTCTATGGGGAATAACATTTGAAATTCTCGGTGACATATTTTCTATGTCAATTCAATGTCACCTATAATATTCAGTGTCACTTGGTGCAATATCATAGGTGGCATTGGATTGATATAGAAAAACATGTCACCGAGGATTCCAAATGGGGAAATAAAGGTTAATTTAAAAGTAAATAAAGAGAAGAACCAAGGTCATTCTTGTCTTTCCAAATGTTCTAAGAGTCCACATGAAATACCATAAATTAACTCTTTTTTTTTTTTGTTTCTGACGGAATGGGTATATGGATCAATTCTCACGGGGTCCGACTAATCTCACTCCGATCCAGGTAGAGATGTTCCATCCCCGAACGCGTTAATAGCGGAACTCGAATTCTGATTGTCAGGAAGGTCGTCATATCCTAAAGAGGGGAGCGGACCGCTCGAGCTACCGTGGGACTCACGGGGACCCATAAATTAACTCCATGATATGGAAAAGATGAGCACAACTCTGCACAAGCATGAGCCCAAGAATATCAAGGAAAAAGGAGAGATTTAGAGACAAATAAACAACTACAACCTGGGAGACAAACAAATCTAGACACAATTCAAACGTAAGACTATTTGTATCCGTCAACAAAAATGGATTGAGAGGAACAAAAAGAGGGGAGGGGCATTTTCATGTGTCTCAGAACGCCAAGTAGAAAAAGCTGGAATAAGAAAGGAAGGAAAAATCAGGCAAAATGGGATTTTGAAGAGGGGGAAGAAGAAGGATTTTTCTTGAAGAAAGAAAGAAAGATGATGAAGGAAAAAGGACAGAAGAGGGTATCTTTTTTCAGTGGGAAGCTGTGTGGAGAAGGAGGAGGAGCCTCGTTTGTAGAGAATGAGATTGAAAGAATTTCAAGGGATGATAGAAGTTCCCATCACAGCATTTCCAGCGGTATTCTTCCATCTCTTGGTGCCCATAGCAACAAAAGGCCCAAGCTTCGTCGTTGCATCATCTCCCCTTTTGATCCCCGTTACAGGTACTTAATTCTTAATTCTTCCAATTTCAAATCTTTCTTCCCTTTTGCGTTTTTTCTTCTTTTGTTATTATTGTTGTTTTTCAATTTTACTTTTTTGGGGCTAAAAGGAATGGTTAATGGTTCGGTATTGCCTGCATGTATTACATTTAGGCGTGTTAAAAATTTTTGTTTTTTGCTTGTTCTTGCATGTGCTGTTTTTACTATTTTATGTCGTAGAACCTGCATGAAAGTTGAAACTGCAAGTAGTAATCTGAAAGATTATATCTTAGCAGATTTAAAAGACTCTCTGTATAAACAATTTCTATATTTTCAAATTTTCAACCTCGACAATTTTCTGATTCTGCTTCCTTTGCAATAAAAGTGTCTTCTGTTTCCCAGAATTTGAGAGGTATACTGTATGAATGCTGGCTTGTTTTTGATCATCTGTTAGATTATGTACATAATATATTAATTTAATAAATATCTTGGATTTTTTTGGTTTTTTGTTTGCTTTTTTTTTTTTTTTTTTTTTTGTTGTGGTGGGGGGGGGGGTTGGTGTCTATGTAATAAGCCTGGTAACTGTTTGAGCACCCTCCAACTCTGTCAAGATGGCCCCATCATCTAAAGAAGAAAGTAGGAAAGACAATCTTACAGTGATCTTAGTTTTTTATCAACAATTGCAAATTGACTTTTGTTGAATTTGATAAACCTAATCCCAGAAGAACCCTCAAAAGCCGGCAACTCTTGAGGGCCTCCTAGGGACTTATCTACCCAACTAACCCAACCCCCAACCCCGATGTGGGATAAACTACCCTGGAGAGAACCCTGCTACTAAGAGTGTAATAACCCCCAAATTCCCCGGAAAGCAGTTTGTCTTTTATCAACAATTGCAAATTGACTTTTGTTGAATTTGATAAACCTAATCCCAGAAGAACCCTCAAAAGCCGGCAACTCTTGAGGGCCTCCTAGGGACTTATCTACCCAACTAACCCAACCCCCAACCCCGATGTGGGATAAACTACCCTGGAGAGAACCCTGCTACTAAGAGTGATCTTAGTTTGGGATGCAATTTTAGGACAAGGTGGTTGTGAATGTCATTAGACTAAGGCTGTGATTGATGTTTTTACTCTCTATGTGATTGATATTTTTACTCCTTATACAACAGAAAAAGTCCTTTAAAGCAAAGATACAAACTTTTGTTTGTTTTCAACTTAGCTGATTTGATCTGTTTATGTCATGATTTTGGTGGACCTTAACTGTTGCTAATATGACCCTTACTTTTCTTGCGAGTCTTCTTGGCTTTATTATTACCAATTACCATTCTGTAGCAGCTTTTCTATTTTTTTACCCCTTCCATACATAAAAGTGGGAAATTTATCCTGTTCAGTCAGTAGCTAACATCTAATGTTAAGGGGTTTAACAAAAGTAATGCACTTTAATGGTACTTGGGAGAAGATTTGCCAACAGTTAAGATTAACTTGTGAACTATCTTATCTGCAATATCCTTGGTCAAAAGCAAAACCTTCTACAATCTCTACATGATGATATGTTAAGTACCATAAATGTTTAAAAACCTTTTTTAGGTTATATTGATTGTGCAATAAAAACCTTTTTTATTGTGCATATTCATTTGGTATAAGGTTGATGATATTTGGAGAATGTCTCATTATTTCTTTATATAATCCCCTTCCACGTGTTAATGTTACCTCTGCTGACCTTAAATTTGCAGAGTTTGGGACACATTTCTGGTATTCTTGGTCTTCTATACAGCATGGGTCTCTCCATTTGAGTTTGGATTCCTAGATGAACCCTCAATAGCTCTCTCAATTACAGACAATGTTGTTAATGGATTTTTTGCTATTGATATCATTTTAACATTTTTTGTGGCATACCTTGATAAGGCAACATATCTTCTTGTGGACAACCCAAAGCAGATAGCATGGAGGTATACAAGAACATGGTTGCTTTTTGATGTGATATCCACGATCCCTTCTGAATTAGCAAGGAAGGTTTTACCTAAACCTCTGAAACAATATGGCTACTTCAATATGCTTCGGCTCTGGCGTCTTCGTAGGGTCAGTAAAATGTTTGCAAGGTAATCTCTTTGATCCATTTCCATATACTTACTATATTTCTTATCTTGCTAAGATTTTTTTTTTTTTTGAGAAATTTTTGTTTCTTCTCCGTGGGTGTAAAGATTTAGGATGTTTTTCTTCTTCTTGTCTCACATCATGATTCTCCACTATTTGTATGTGAGAGAAAGATGATGTTGTTTTGTGAAATGTTGGATACAATAGGCTAATACTAAGATGAAGCAGGCACACAGAAACCAGTGACTTATATTTTTGTCAAACTCCAGGATGAAATTTGAGGATGCAGGTGTAGTAGTGACTACCAAGTATCTTGTCTCCAGCAAGCTTGGGATTTTGACATCCAATTATCTTATGATCTACTGTTTCTTCATTAGAAGCTACCACAGATATTTTTCTTAATACCTCTGTATTCTGTGTTGAACTTGCTGAATGAAAACTTCATCCTGCACATACATTGTCTAAGTACATTAAATCTTTGGGATAGCTGAGGATATCAGAGTAGGGGCTTTATGTCAGAGACAATCATCTTGTTGATAAGGTCTTTGGCTAGTTAACTACTCAATGGGTTCAACATGAGATAGCTGTTTTGTCATGAAAAGGTGCTTGTTGGAGAACATCTCAGCAATTGTCATGAGCCAACTTAATTGAAACTTAAAACTATTTGGGGTAAGCCATGGTGATTTCTTGCTAAGGTAGAGTCACCATTTGGACTGTTATCCTTCTAATTGCTAGAAAGAGTTATCTTTTATAACATTATTATCTTCCCATATGGATTTGACAGGAGCAAATGTGTCAATGTAACTCTGGATGGAGATACAAATTGAACTTGAGAAATTTGCCTGCTACAAAACAAAGTTATATTTGACTTCATTTGAAGCTTGAGCAGCATTTTTACACTGTCCAGGACAATCCATTTTTCTCACTGTGTCACAATAGTCCACATACGCTTTTTGGTATTGCAGGTTGGAGAAGGATAGGAATTTTAGTTACTTTTGGGTTCGATGTGCAAAGCTTATCTGTGTAAGTACCATAAGAAACAAGTATTCGTTCCCATACTGCATACAAGACATATGATTTACTTTATGTATCTCCTGATTTGTCTGTAGGTGACTCTTTTTGCAGTTCACTGCGCTGGTTGCTTCTACTTTCTTTTAGCTGCTCACTACCATGATCCCAAAAACACATGGATCGGTCTCATGGAAAATTTTGATGAGCAGAGTTTGTGGGTTCACTATATAACTTCAATGTATTGGTCGATCACCACCCTAACAACTACTGGTTATGGTGATTTACATGCAGTTAACTCACGGGAGAAGCTATTTGACATTTTCTATATGCTATTCAACCTTGGTCTCACAGCATATCTTATTGGAAATATGACCAACTTGGTTGTTCATGGAACTGGTAGAACTAGGAAATTTGTAAGTAAATCCTCTATCGTTTCTGAAGTGGAAAAGTGAATTATCTCCATGTTGTTTTATACGTCAAAAATGCATTCAATATTTGCCAGTCATTCAATAGTATATGGCACATAAGGATCCTCACAAAAGGAATGATGTAAACTACATATCATGGTTTCTAGCTTTAACATTTAATGAAATATTTAGAAGCTCAATCACCCTTTCTTTTTATGTTTTCTATGGCTCACAGAGAGATACTATTCAAGCTGCATCAAGTTTTGCTCAAAGGAACCAGCTGCCTCCTCGCCTTCAGGATCAGATGCTTGCCCATCTGTGCTTGAGATACAGAACAGACTCTGAAGGCCTTCAGCAACAAGAAACTCTTGATGTACTTCCAAAAGCAATTCGTTCAAGTATCTCACATTATTTGTTTTATTCACTTGTTGATAAGGTCTACTTGTTTCACGGAGTATCAAATGACCTGCTTTTTCAACTGGTAATTGCTAGAACTTCCTTATTCTTCTCTTCTATGTTTAAGGTTGACGCCTTTTATCCCAGGCGCATGCCCAAAGAGGTGTGCTTCCAAATTTGTCTGTCAAGTGATGGGAAGGCTTAGATTTAGATGACTTACCATCCTTTTCGATGTTTGACTTGCTAGGTTTCTGAGATGAAAGCTGAGTATTTTGCACCCAGGGAAGATGTGATTTTGCAAAATGAAGCTCCAACAGACTTATACATTCTAGTGACTGGAGCAGTTGTAAGAAGCACTTTTCCTCCTGTCTGAGGCCAGCACAATATGAAATCACATAAACATAGTGTAGAGAAATAGGAGAGCAACTAATTGCTGATTTTATTGGTACATCATGTCTGGTTCCGTTTTTCTTACTTTTTGAATTAAGCAGACTAAAAGGGTAACATTAATCAGTAGCTTCAAGGCAGAGTCCTATTGGTTTTTAGGAAATTAATTGTTTTAGTTTTATGAAGTTTAACAACATCATGCTACTCAGATTGAGAAACAAGCATAGGCTGTTAAAAGAATGATGACCAACAATCTTCCTCCTATTTTTTATCCCTAAATAGCATAAAGAGTCCATGTTTTACTTTTAAATATAATCTTTGGTTTCTTTACAATTTTAAAGACTGATGTTCATTACTAATGGTGAATTATAGCTTGACATTGAGTTCTTGGTGACAGGAACTTATCGTGCTCAGAAACGGAATAGAACAGGTAACATGTGTGACATAATATCGCAATTAATGTCCCAGTCATATCTTATACGTCTATGCAAGAATAACTGCCCTATATTAGACAAGTAAAGGAGTGCTGTCTGTTATAAATGATCGCAGGTGGTTGGGCAGTTGAAAACAGGGGATGTTTGTGGTGAAATAGGTGTTCTTTGCTATAGGCCACAAGTTTTCACTGTTCGAACAAAACGTTTGAGCCAACTATTGAGGTTGAATCGCACTGATTTTTTGAACATTGTCCAAGCAAGTGTTGGGGATGGGACCATAATTATGAACAATCTTCTTCAGGTGAGACAGGATATACTTTTATTACCAATTCTCTATTCCTATGGTTAAAATGTGGAATGGTCTCACTTTTGAGGGATCTAGTTTGCAGTTCAAATTTTCAGGTTTTATATAGTAGTTTTGCTTGCAATAATTTCGCATCTGAGACAATTGGAGAATGTAGTTTTATCCATGTGTGAACTGATTGAAATGAGTTTTGTGTAAGCATCTGCATGGTATTGCTTAAGAGTTTCTAGCATGCACCCAGGGCCTTCTGTCTATTGCTTTAGAATATTTGTATATTTTCTTAGGAACTCAAATAAGTCAACATAAATTTCTCGCAAAAGGTAATGACTCTTTTATTGTTTCTGAGCTCTGCATCACATAAAATATGAAAAGAATTGATAAGGAAACAAGGAGCTTGTGGCGTTCTTCCATTTTTTTTTGCTGGAGTAGCCAGATGGTTAGGCAAGGCTACTTATCAACCATTCTTCATGTCCCATTGGTGGAATATGAGGAGTATGAGTTGAGGGCTTCATACACTCTAATCTGATATTGCGAGAAGAGTATGAGGGCTTCATACACTCTAATCTGATATTGTGAGCATTTCTTTTATGCCTGCGAGGAAAACAGTCAATTTATTTCTTTTTTTTCTTTTCTCGTGCAGCATTTGAAAGATCAAATGGACCCTTTTACAGATTCAATTTTGGCAGAAACAGAACACATGCTTGCGCAAGGGCGCATGGAAGTGCCTCTTAGTTTATGTTTTGCAGCAGCAAGAGGAGATGATTTACTCTTGCATCAATTGCTGAGACGTGGTACAGATCCAAATGAATTGGACAGCAGTGGACGTACAGCACTGGTTTGTAGTTTCTTTACTTTGTTCCATAGGTATGTCTACAACCTCAACATAATAAAAGTGTGACATTTTGGTTCAGATAATTTCATTTTCTGATACAGCATATTGGAGCATCAAAAGGGAGTCTTGAATGCGTGCTGCTACTTCTAGATTATGGAGCAGATCCGAATAGAAAAGGTACTGCTTCTAAACTTGAAATCTTCTGACCTGCAAATCATGGTGCAGTATAACAGGCACTTGTCAGATTCCCATTTTTACATGTTAAGCTCATCATATTACTAGTTTTTATATTGTTCTTCAGTGGTAAGTTTTTCCTGTTCAACATCCTGTGGTGCTCATTTTGAAGTACTTCTAAGTTCTATCTTCTTTCTTCATTGATTAGCTGAGTGAACAAGAAGTGTTGGCATCATGTTCTTGGATCTTCTGAAACGAATTTATTTAATCCCATATGATGTTCTTAATTTAGAAATAAGAGAAAGGGGCTGCAAAAACCAAGCAGCTAATCCTAAGAGGTTGTTCTAAGTTGACAACCCAATTGTAGGGGTTGTCATTAACTCAGGGTTAGCTATTAAGTTCTGAACATCTAGACAGGTCCCGCAGACATCTGTACATCTTGTAACACCTTTTACCTATAATAGTACAGGTTTTGTGTTTGTAGTCCATACCTTCTAATGAAATCAACAATTGTATTGCTGCAGATTCTGATGGGAATGTTCCCTTGTGGGATGCGATATTGAATAAGCATGAAGCTGTTATTAAGTTGTTAATAGACAATGGTGCAAATATATCTTCTGGTGATGTGGGTGGTTTCGCATGCTTCGCTGTTGAGCAAAACAACTTAGAGTTGCTTAAAGACATAATTAAGTACGGTGGAGATGTCACACTGCTTAACAGTTTAGGCACTACAGCGCTACATACAGCTATTTCTGAAGACAATGCTGAAATGGTTAAGTTCCTGATAGAGCAAGGAGCTGATGTTGACAAACCAGATGTGCATGGTTGGACGCCAAGAGCTTTAGCTGATTATCAGGCAAACGAAGGGATAAAACTTTTATTGCAGAATCAGAAAAAATCTACTAGACAACCTGTTGCATCTTCCCCTCAGATGCAAGCTGTATCTTACCTCAAAAAATACCAGAGTGAGCCTACCCTGCCTCCTTTAACCCCAGAAGTTGCAGTGAGTGTTACAGAGGCTGATACATCCAGAAACCGTTTGAAACGAAGGGCAAGTAATTTCCGCAATTCCTTGTTTGGGATCATGTCAGCTGCAAATAGACCTAATGAAGGTGAGCTTTTTAGGTAATTATTTGCTTTTCCTTTCATATTTAGAATATATTGTTCAACTCTTTTTGTGGATGTTGGGTATGAGAAGTTATGGATTAGGGTAGCCAAACAAGAACATGTTTGATCATGTTCAGGTGAAAATCTTGTTATGAACTAAACATCCAGTATATTCAAATGCAAAAGGATTATGAGGGAAACTGTGGACCTATCATAACTATCCAAACAGATAAATTATTCATCAGTTATGATCAAAATTGTCTATTGGTTGAGAATTTTATTAGCTTCCTTGAGTTAAGAAGAAGAACACGTGACAAATGACTATGTTGTTCTTGAGAAGAAATGCTTAGGAATCTTATCTTTACTACTGAAGAGGCAATTGTGATATTCTAGAAAATGTGATGCCTTTTTGCATGCTTGGAAGACAGAATATGCGAACATATTAATCTTATTTCTGCCACAAGTTGAGCATGATTATTTCTTTTAAATATTTATGCAGGAGGAAAGAGTATTGCTGCATCTCCAATTAATGTAAATACACTTAATCATGCTAGAGTGACTATTAGTTGCCGGGAAAGGGGCTGTGATATTTGCAGGCTTGTTCTCTTGCCAGAATCAATCCAAGAGCTACTTGATATTGGTGCAAAGAAATTTGGGTTCTGTCCAACCAGGGTTTTTACTAAAGATGGGGCTCTAGTTGAAGATATCGCTGTAGTGAGAGATGGTGATCATCTTATTCTGGCTGGTGATGAAATTGACAGGTCAAGAAGCTCATGAAAATGGAGTTAAAAAGAGCCGAAACACATTGTTATCCTACCCACATGCCACATATTTCATGGATTAGTTCAAAATCCCACGTAACACAATTTTGTTAGATGAATATAGAGCTTCGGTTCTTTTGCATGGCATCCCCTCCTTGGCCACCACCTAGTCAGGCAGGATATTTGATATGGCGCAAGCGAGGCATTTGTGCCTGCTGATGATGGCCAAGAGCTATGGTTTAATCATTTGTATGCTTGGCCTTCGGAGAATGCAGAGGTAAGAGATAGTTGCAGGCTGGTAGTTGAGTTATTTATCAGATCTTCAGGGTGGAAGAGATGATTAACAGTTCGATAAAAGAGAGAAGGCATTACAATTATAATTTTCTCTATATATTTGTCTTCATAAACTTTTCTTGTACCAGCCATGATGTTGAATGCCTTATGTTTTATACAGAAGCTGCAGTCTATATGAAGTCCTATTGTTGGAACAAAATGAAAGCAATGCATATTATTACAGAATACTCGTGTTGTGAAACAACAGCATAGATTAGACACAAAAGGCAATTGTATAACATGACAGATTTTCAGTCTTCTTTTTTCTTCTGATTTTGCCTTTTCATGTTCTAGAAAGACATCTCAATAGAATTTGGAAGTGATTGATGAAAGGGGGGCCAGTATTTTGATAAACCATGATATTTTGATATTCCAATCTTATGCACTTCATCATCTCCAATTTGCATTGCAAACCTAAGTTCATGCAACAGAAGCCAGAATATTTATATGGATTCACCAACACGATTCAAATGCCATTTACTAGTTCATATACTAAGATAATAGCAGCCACCTATTTCTTGTTATTCCAAATCCAAGGTGCCTGTATATTGCAAATCCCAACGATGCGGGTTATCCTTCCATAGTGCAAGTCTGATTTAACGGACTATGTTTTACATAAAATTCTACTACACAATACACAGCAAGTCTATATGGACAGTATCTCAAACAAAAGGACGAACGCTCATGTAAACTTCATTTGTGAAACTCACAAGTTATGTGAGATAGTCCATGTTAATCATGGCCAAAGAAGCACGCACAACGAATTAAGCAAAATTTTTCATGGAAATGTTGTCAGCGGATGTGTAGACATCCGTTTGGGTCGGGAGTGATTCAGTTCACTCCAGGTTATTCTTGGATTTTTTTAGGTCCCTCCTTCTCTTAGTATAAAGTAGTGTAGGTCTATCGTGTCAAATAAAAAAATATATATATCTCATTGATAGGTCATAATTTGTTGCTAAAATTATAATTATTCTTCTTTTGATTTTAGCCAAATATTGTTTTAATTGTCAAATTCTACTTATATTTGGTTAATGGTGCTAATTGTAGGAAAATGAGCAAAACGTGATTAAAAGTGACAATTTTCCAGTTAATTTGATGGTGGTATGTTCGGGACCTATATTCAATGCTGGAAAGTCGGGATTGAAATTTGGCAGTCTCCCAATCCGAGTCAACTTCCTAATTTGTTAGCTGTCAGGATTTTCCTTATTCCGTGAGGTCATTCTCAAGAGAAAGGAAAACTTGACGAAATTGAGTTGTAATAGGAATCTTTTGTCTTTTAGGAAGTTGATTGGTATTAGGATACCAATCAATTAGAAGTCAAAAAGGTGAAAATTCGGAGACATCAGCTTCTCAAGCTTTGGCTAGAGACGAAAAAGTAGCAGACAATTCTTGTCTTTTCTTTCCTTTGCACGGATTTGAGAGAAACAATTGGGAAGCTTCAAACAGATTTTTAGGTGGCTTGTTCTCCATTAATCTACCCATTAGAAATGTAGTATAAACTGGGAAGATGGTTTGAGAGTGTGGTCGTCCTCCATGTGAGTTTCACGTGCGAGAATGAGTTATGTTTTGTTTTGTTTCCTTTTTTTTCCCCACCCAACCTCCCCATTTTTCCCCCCTGCTTTGGGACTAAGGAGGGATGATTACTCTTTCCGCTTTTATTGCCAGTGTGTCAACGCCGGAGTGCTTATCATAAAGAGCATATATTGGGAAGGGCAGTCGCTAATCTCTCGTCTGAGCTCCAGCTACGGAGAGGCGGCTGCATTGTTATTATTAAGAGTTTAATTATGCTGGCATGCTCTGTTTTAGTAGTGGAGGTTTGCTCTGCCTGCAACATAATAATTCCTTTCATTTCCAAGACTTCTCTTGCCAGCTTCTCGTGCATTCTCTTCTTCACTTTTCGTAGAATCTCTTTCCGTCTTTCCGCTTTTCGTAGATTCTCTTTCTGCCATTCCGTGAAACGAGGATGCATGGCTTCGTTTTTTCGTTCTTATATAGCCTCTGGCCTTATTTTTTGCCTCTGCGCCATCTTCTTTGTCTTCTTCTCTTGCCGGCGTGTGTTAGCTTCTTCCATTGTCTGTTGCTCTTGCCTTCATCTAACTTGTGCTACTATCTGTTTTTGTTCTTGTTGTCGTCCTCATCAGCGTTGTTGTTGCTACTATTACTCGAGTCAGGTACTTGTTTTGTTCTTTTTTTGCCATTTTTTGAGCGTATGTATCTTTTTTCCGTCCGTTTTGCGGTTTATTCCCTGTTTAGCTTGCTACTTTCCGATTTTCTATTGCTCATCGCTTTTATCGTGCTCTTCTGAGCTATAGTTATATTCATCATCATTACTGTCTCTTTTCTTTTATTTTCCTTTCAGTTGTGGCCTGTTTACTTGGTCTTGTCATTCATTCGTAAAGACATATATGTGTTGTGTATTGCTTTTTGTCTGGTCCGTGGAAGGTTTTTTGCCTTTTGCCAGCTTTATTTGGTATCTTTTCTGCTGACTATTCACCTTCCTTTGTAGCTTGTTGTTTGGTTTTTTTTAGCCTCCATGGAAAAATGCATTGGAGTAACAAAAAAACTAAACGGCTAGCACGCCGCTGTGTCTTTGTCGACTTCGCTGCCTCAACTACAGCTTTGCTTGTTTTTCATCATGTTGTACATTTTACGAGGAATATCCTATCGTTCTTGTGATCTGTTTTGAAGAATTTCTTGCACTTGCTTCCCTGTTACTTCCTGTGTGGTGGATGGTGTTTTCCTTTCAGGTCTTGTCGTTCCTGCTTTTGCCCTGCTGCCTCAGGTCTTTATCATTTTCAAGAATTGAAGTGCCATCTCACATCGTTTCTCAGGCAACTTATATTTACATATGAACTATAGTTAGTGCCTATTCAATTCCAGGCCCTTCTAATCAAGCACCGTTGTAGCTAGATAACTAACTATAAGAGAAGGGTATAGAACATGGCTTATCCAACTTCGTCGGCAGTCATTCGCTGAAGGATGGCAGGAGTTTTGCCGCAGCAACATCATCAAGGAAAACTACTTTTTCTTGCTTCGACATTCTGGTCACCTAATTTTCGACGTCATCCATTTTTGCGAGGACAAAAAACAAGTATACATGCCATGGACAAATCCTCTACCTAATATATTGCATTCACATCCATCCCTTGAGTTAGGAAGTTGAGGGTTAACTGCTTTTGTTTTGTATCAGCCCATTTGTATTTTTTAATTTTTTTTGCCTCATGCGATTGTCCTTTAATTTCCAGGTGATATGAAGCAAAAAATGATACGGCAGCGAGTGTCATCATCAATGAGGCCTGATTTCGTACAAACTTTAACCGAAGGCATGTGTTTCTGTCAATTCATTGACAAACAGAATCGGCATAACTTTGTGAGTTTTATATATAGATTTACTCAGTTATTTGGCATCTTTGTATCATAACATTCTTAACTCTAACACCATACAATGCTAGAAAGTCCCAAGGTTTGTTGCTCAGTTCGTCCATAGTAGCAAGACTCCTTCGATTACTCTGAGGACTGGAAACAAAACAATAACTATTACAATGCGTGGAAGGCAGTTTACTGACAACTGGAACATCTTTGTGGCAGAGCACCAACTGCAGTTTCGAGAAGTTTTGGTCTTTGTTCCTGAATCCATTACTACCTACACTGTTCTAATCTATGATAGACATGGTGCAGAAAAACACTTCCCATGGTATGATAGCTTTTATGTGTATTCTACCATGGGAGATGCGGCAACTTGGTTGTATTCTATTGGCTTTTCTAACCAACGTTTGGTTTGAAAACTCCATCTATTCCTCTATTATCCATTTTTGTATGTTCATCCGTATGTACACTGTGCATCCCTAAAAAATGATGGGCTTGTTTGGAAGTGAAGTTTTTGGCCAAGTTTTTTAGCTACTAGTTTTTTAACAACTTTTGCTACAGGAACCCAAAAAACTTTGATAAGTTTTTTACTTACACACTTCAAAATAATACACAAAAAACTTTTCCTTCAACTTTTCTTCTTTTTCCTCCCCCACCCAACCGGCCACCACCTCCACCACCGCTTCCGGTGCCGGTAACTATTCCGGCCAACTTTTGCCGGCCTTCCTCTTTTTTTTTTTTTTTTTCTCTCCCTCCCTTCCCCCTTTGACCGATATGTTGGTTTCCAAAATCTCTTTTTTCTTTTTTTTTTCTTTCTCCCTCCCCTCCCCTCTTTCCCTCTGCCTTTCCCCGCCACCTTCCCCCTCCCGCAGCTTGGGGAGAAGGAAAATTGCAAAAAAAAAAAAAAAATTACACTCGGCTGTTGCTGCTTATTCTGCCGGCAAGATAAGGAGAGGAGAGGGAGATGGAACATTGGAAAAAAAAATCATTTCTGTTGCTGCAAAACTCATGTGCAAAACTCAGGTGGCGGCCAGAGGGAGAGGGAGGGGTGACGGGGAAGCTTTTGCAGGGGTAGGGGAGGGGGCGACGGGGCAGAGGGGGAAGGGGCAAAGGGGGTGGCGGGAGATGGCATTGGTGGAGTTACTGCTGGGGGTGGCGGAGGTAATGGGGAAGGGGAAGGGGGAAGGAAGAAGAAGAAGAGAGGAAAGAAAAGAAAAAGGAAAGAAAGAAAGAGAAAGAGAAAGAGAAAGAAAAAAAAAAGGAAAAAAAAAAGTTTTTCACCCTACAAAAACTTCTACAAAACTTTTTACCTTACAAAAATTTCTATAAAATTTTTTCAAAAACTTCTACAGTGCACTACAGTAAAGTTTTAGACAAACTCCCAAAAAACCCAGGTTCCAAACAGGCCCGATATTCTTCATAGATGAAGTTTCATCAACGGTTTACACATGCTTGCAAATAGAATATGCACTGTATCAAACACTCACTCTCGTAGCTCCAATGTTTTCTCCCCAGGCTGTAGAAAAGGAATTGAGTATGCGTTTTACGGCTAGACATAATAAAGAACTTCCTCATTCGATCCTAGGCATATTTACAATTTACTACCGTGCGCGAGCACGATCATAATCTCCTAGTATAGTAAAAGCACGAATGAGTTTTGGCAAAAGAGTGGTCGTCTGCTGATGTGTCAAGCTGTCATTGGTTAAAATGTGGTCATCCTCCTTATGCCAAAATCACGTGCCCAACTAGAGAAATATTGGAGGGTTTTCTTTCTTTCTGACGTATTCTGCCGAGGATAGGACTAGCGCATGGCTCTAAAGGTTTCAAATCCTCTGTCCCAAAGTAGTTTCTGTCCCCTCTGTCCCTTATTTATACAGTTGCCACGTGTCTTTAATCTTTTGTTAATCCAAACTCAAATAAATTTTAGATTAAATAACTATTTCTTGTAAACAAGTGAATTTTGGAATAACTAAAATTTAATTATAAACAATAAAATATTACCTGTGACAATTGCGTTGAGCACAACATACGTTGGCTATTTGGTTCCCATATGTTTAAACCATCTCTACTACCAGTAGGACCTTCATACACATGCTTAAAAATAAACAATATAAATGAATAATTATATCATCAAGACTAAAAAAAAATTATATTAGCATAATATCTAATTAAAAGCTTGTTTTTCATGCAAACAAACCCATGGTTTATTTGAGTTTGGATTAACAAAAGATTAGAGACACGTGGCAGTTATATAAATAAGGAATAGAGGGGACAGAGACTACTTTGGGGACAGAGAATTTGAAGCCGGCTCGATACATCACAATTTAGAAGGGTTCTCTTTCTCCCTTGTTCATTACTGTTCTCCTCTCTCTCTTTCGTCTGATTGGGTTTTAGTCCCTTGGTTTACCCCTTCGATTTTTCATTTACACGAACTCTCTTTTCTATATGTGTTTGTTCTTTATCCACTGGATCCAATCTAAGACGTGCAGTAGCAGAGAAAATTACATCAATTGAAGGTTGGTTAGTGGCTCGAGGATTACTACCATCAAATTCTTATCTTTTTCCTCCTCTGATTTCTATACGATTGGGACTAGCGCTTGGTAAACACTCTCCGTCCCTATCACTTACTTTTTTCTCTTATCAAACTCACCAGCGGACCAACATTTCTTTCATACCTCTCCGATTTTCTCCGTATTGTTTTCTCTAAAAATTAAGGTCAACAGCAGCCACAGATGACCTTCAATTTTCTGGCTTTTGTTTCTGATCTTTTTAGATAAGATGAGCTACAAATAACTTGTAGATTTACTCAACTTTTCTCTGTTCTTCCAATGGTCTTTATTTGCTTAATAATTAATAAAGCTTGGTTTAATATCTCTATTACTCAGTTATTTTCTTAGCGATAAGAACTCTAATCTTCTAATCTTTATATCTTAAGATTTTTTTATTTTATGTCTCTTATGTTTTATTTATCCAATTTCCTAATTTTTATAGTATTATCTTTGCAGGAAAAAGATGAAAATTTTTGTGGGATGCAAATGCAAGTACTTGTGGATATATTCCATCCTTTTCTGTCCTCCAAAGGTCTGTTCTGCTTTATTTATCTATTGATTTATTTGTTTATTTATTTTTTGTCGATAAAAACTTTGTCCTTTTAATTTCGGTCTCTACTCTCAATTCACTTGAAGTTTTTATTTTGTCTTTTAGTTTATTGGATTATACTATTATTTTTATAGAAAGGAAGATGAATTTATTAGGTTTTAGCTAAAAAATAGGCATGAACATCAATGTTTTCCTCTGTAAACATTTTTTCTGGTGCCGTTTGACAGAAAGTATGAGTTATAGTGGTTTCTTAAAGCATTCTAGGAGCATTTAATTCCTAAAACACCTATGCATTCTAGAGCCCCTGTTATAGAAACACTGATTGCTTCTTTTCTTGGTGCACATTCATCTGTGATTTTTCCCGTCTTTTTACTTCGTTTATACTCTCATATTACAATTTGCATTTTTACAGAGTAAGGAAGAAAAGGAAGAACAACCTCTGTGGTAAGAACTTTTTAGCCCACAAGTTTTTTGCTCTGGTTTGTTTTCCTTTTCAATTTGTGACCTTTCCCTCTTTCCCTCTATGACAGAGGTTTGTGGAGGATGGCAAAAAATTGTGGTAAAACTCCTGCTCCTATTTTTTTCACGGTACTTTGGGCCTTTTTTTTTAGATTTTAATATTCTTCTTTTAAATACTAGCTTTGAGTGAATCCTTTTACCTATCAAAATGAAATCTGCCAAAATTATATCATGTGCATCTGTTAAATCAGAAGTTGGATGATAAATAACATTAACTAATATGGAACAAAAGGGTCAAGGTTAAGACTTTTCACTTTCACTTTTGCAGAGAAGTTTAAAGATTTTCCGAAGAAACCTCTAAGCCGGTTCAGGAATCATTTTTTGCTCAGTTAAAAGTTCAATCCTTTTGTTCTTTTCTTGTTTTTTCACTGAATATGGGACCTGGTCTTCATGCAATTTCTGTTTCTGCATCTTTTAGGACAAGTCAATATTTCTAAAGTAGTATATGTTTGAGAGTAAGACGAGAGAGATGATTGTCTACACAACTGAAGGTACTTTGCCATTCCAATTTCTCAGGGATAAATTTTTCCCCATCAGATTTTTATCTTTGACCTTTTCTTGCTTCTTTCTTCTTTATCCGGTATCCACTACAGGAAGAAAGCAATCTTTATTTGTGGTCCAGGAATAAACAAATGGTGAAGATAGCCTTTAAGTAGGTGTTTGTTCACCTTTTATTGTTGTTTTTCCTTTTTTGGGTTTTAATGATAGTATAAGTTCTAATTAATTGAGTTTCTGTTTAATTGATAGGTGAGAATATCTTAAACTAGGTGACTTGGTTGAGTAGATATTGTGCACATCCGTATTTGAAACTCTATAGCATGTCAGGTTCCTTATCTGACTATCTAGATAGACTATTTTGTAGTGTGAAAATGTCATCTTCTTTTGATGGGCTTTTGAATAACGAATCATTAGTTTCTTTTCATTGATTACACTTTTGTTGTTAAGAGTAAGTTTTACTTGGTAATTAATTTGTAAATTTCATCTTTAACCTTTTAGGTTCATTTCTTGAACTTCAATATTTATAGGTATAAACTTGTTGAAAAAAGAATGAGAGGCATTGGCAGTATGAGGAGGGACGTAAAAGAAAAGAAGAAAGGTGTGCGAAAAAGTGCAAGTTGAAATACTGATACTGAAATCATTATGGTCATTACTGTAATGATTAAAATGCTAAGAAAAAGCTAGAGATTGAGTTTCAAGAAAGAACCTTGGTTTACTTGGCGCTAAGATAGGCATTGGTCATTTAAGTTTCCTATTCTTTGGGAAATTCACTATTATTTGACCATTTCAATATTCTTTTACCATACTAGAGCTACTGTGTTTGGTTGACTGTATCATTGATAGCTATTTAATGTAACTTGTCTTTACCCCTCATAGCTAAAATGGATTGATGAGGATTTCCTGAGCTATGACTTTGAGTTCAACATTTTGCTGACTTGCTAAATTTGTTAAGAGAATTTTCTTCACTTTTCTTGGAATATGTTTCTGCTGTTCTATGTGCAGGTTTAGTCAAGATATGGAGATTAAAGGACCTCATTTAAAACATCTGACACTTCTTTAGGCTTTGTTGTTCTAGGCCCAATCAGATATCTTTATACTTACTGTTATTTGATTGTGTGGCTTGAGTTCAAATTAAGTAAATTATTTGAGAGAATGCTTAATGATTTGTTTGGCTTGTTTTGCTTAGCAATGAATCAAAGCCCGAAGAGTGAAAGAACTCTTACCGTTTCCCTTGCATTATCATGATTGAAGTGTCAAGCACCCCTAGAATCAAGATTGGAATTATTTCTATGTCTGTCCTGCATGGATCTATAGTGATTATTTATTAGCCTCATTTTTTGATACATATTATTGTAGACATTATGTACATTTTACTTTTTAAATAAGAGG